GAAAACATATGTAAGGAGCTTACGCAACCGACTCTGCGAGCACATCAGAAAGAATGCAATCGGAACGATACAAAATGTGAGTTATCAATGACTCTTACAGCAACAGTGTCATTCTCAGCGGTTGAGCCTTAAATTTAACGAAATCCTGAAAATGGCATAATATGAAACCGGTCTTACCGGTCTTCTTTACACTTAATAAGCTTAGGCGAACGAATAGCGGATGGTTTCGTCTAGAATGGTCTTTACATGTGAGCAAGTTTTATGAAGTTTTACGAGTTCATGCCATGAGTATAGAAATTCTGACCTAGAGAAGTGGAAGCAGATAAGGTGTTTAAGGTTTAATTGACTGAGAGACGATGCTCAACTCGAACCTGCCTCGAATTCTAGAGGATCAGAGCGTGGCTTGTATAACAATGTGCCCGAAAGCCTTTCGTCCATGTATTCCACATTTATCCTCTATATAAAAGGATTTGTTCTGAACGACTGACGGATCAAATCCACTCATTGCAGATACCTGAAACTTGGAGGTCGTGTTCCGGACGAGTTATTTGGAACAGGGATAGCTTTAAGCATTGGTTAATAAATATGAGAACTCTTCTTCAATGAAGAAAGCCACCAAGGACCAATCTATTCGAAAAAATCGGGGGTTTGGCTCGTTTGATAAAGGTAATGGAAGAAAATTGTTAAAAGTTTGTAAGTGAGAATTGGAACATACTTATCAGGTGTATAAGATCTGCCAGGGACATCGAACTGTCGATTCTAAGCTACTGACGCGTGTTGAGTGTGCTGAGATTTTGTCATTTGCGTTATTTCGCCATGCTCAGGATATGCGTTTAAGCTAGCGAGGAGTAAATAGCTACAAGGCATTGATGGTTTTAATCAAGGAAAGTGCAAATGCTTCGAAAAATTTCTTCGGTAATACCTACAGTACCAGAGGGCGAAGCGAAGTAACTATTGGAGAACATAATGGGTTTATTGGTACGAAACGTGGCTCTTCCAAAGACCGATCTCCGCTCTGTGAAAGTGGTTTAAAAGCGACGAGATTAAATGCCTCTATTTCACGAGTTATCCCGGATGCACTCGGACAGTACTATATTTTTGGGCTTGGGAATGGTTTGAACTGGCGGACAGCGTGAAGTGTGTGATTTTTAATTGATATTTTTAGTTTGAGTGAATATGAATATTATGAGTTACTATGCGGTTCAAAAGACCCAGAGTTCGAGTAATGGTCCAACCTACATCCAAAATTATAGAAAATTAATTTTACTAATTGAGGTCGTCCCTCGGCATGAAATAAAGACTCTTATGAAAATCCATCGGCCGTTCGAAAGCGGCTTAGCATAAACTATAGGTAGGTTTGTCTCTTTGTTGGGAAATGATCAAGGTGCACAACTCATTTTGGAAAAGAATCTCGACCAAAAATCGCTTCAGCATTGCGTACTGCCATTCGGAAGACCAGTTTTCAAATCCTGGTACAACCGTCAACCAAAAGTAAGAGAATAAGCGATAATACCTTCGATTCCAATGAGCTTGAACTTGACAGCACCCAGTTCGATGTGGTATTGGATTACAACCCAGTGCCCGGGCACAAAATACGAAAGAAGCTGGATAGACCTTGTGCACTAAAAAGGTGGTTGAGAATTTTTTCGCCTGAGCACAGTGAAGTCGACCTCGCTACCTACCTTGCGTAAAACCTACTGAACCTACTTCACCAAACGAGCCCGCATTTGTGGCAAGTTAACACCACTGTAAACATGTGGACAACAACAAAAGTCATTTCCTATAATACATACAACGTAAGTTATATGTATGGATGTGTATTGGACGGAGTTGTTTTTATTTTCAATTAGTCCCCACAGGCTAGATTAAAGAATATTATACCCTTTGTATTAAGTAAACAAAACGACATTAATAAGAACAACTCACGATTTCAACTTTGATAAGCTTACGCGAACGAACATCGAGGAGACCAACGGAGCGCTGATGTGTTGTGTAAAGTTTAACACACAATGCGCCAAGTGTATATACATACATACATATATATTGTACATTATTGTTAGTACATATATTGTAATTATAGATGGGTAAATGTCGTACATATAAACATGAAGCAATCACCAGCTGAGCCAACAAAAGACCCACGGACTTTTAAGTGTATCTAGTAGCTAGTAGTTATATACATATGTTTGTATGTATGCAGCGGACAAAACAATTACCACAAATAGCTTTTGGCTGTTGGGCGTCGCTGCCAACTACGACTTTGCCATTGCCTTTGTAACCTTTCATGCGCTTCATCAGCCATAAAAGCTGTGGTAGAGTTAAAGCTCAGAGCAGCCCTTGTGACCGCCAGCACTTAACCCAGTCAATTACCTATCGGTTGTTGAATCTACGAGCATATTAACGGCTTTTCGTTAATAACTTACACGTATGTATGTATAACGTCAGGCGTCAGCAGCAGTTGCAGTCACAGCGCGTAAATAGTATAAATATTTATTTCTGCCTGTGTATATGTATGTCCGTCCGTATATGTATGTGCTAATACGGTCGCTTTTTAATTTGATCACTAACTTCATTGATTACAGTTTTTATTGTTGTTCGTTTTGTTTTATTTTTTCACACGCCATCACTAACTAATTTATTTAATTTTTAATTTTTATATAGTACATAAATACATACATATATACATAATACTTTTCTTAGCTATACACGCCGAACCGCTCTATTTTGCACACACATACCCACAAATTCTTTTCACTTTTATTTAAATTTATTAGAGGGGCAACAGAAAACCAGTGACCAGCGCAACACCAATTTCGATTTTATGTATTTTATGCGTTGGAAAACTTGTCAAATCGCTGCACGAAGCGAGGTATCAGCGCTCGTCGACTGTCGGTATACTCGCATACAGAAAGAAGTGTTGCCGCGGCTTCGCTCTGCGTTCTATTTATTTATTCCTGTACTCGTTGATACTAGCCGTATGTTGACAGAGTGATCCCTGCTATCTTCTTCCTGCTTTTCCTACAACTTTGCTACGCGGCTATCTACATACATACGGACATATGTACCTACTGTCTACTAGTGCGCACAGAGGTCGTAAGTGATTTAACAGTGTTGCCAGCTGCTTGGCATCGCATTACAATGGATCTTTGGAAATGTTCAGCTACATTATATGAGCCAACACAACCGCCAAAATAAAACCAAACAAAGGTAAAAATTATCTTATCAATATAAGGCGAAAAGTAAACAATATGAATTATTTTCCACTTTGAAGTCAAAATGTTTTTTATCAACTTGTAACTTGTTTGTCAGTTTTAAGTTACATACATACGTGTATGTATGTATGAATACGACGAGAGGTAAGATTTGATAACTTTGTTGGTTTTAATAAAGATAACTTTCATAAATAAATGTACTAACTGTTATATTTAAGCCTGCATTATGAACGAGCAAACCGCCGTTACTGGATAAAATATCTACTCCCACGTACAACAACTATCTAAAACCTGATCTTTAGTTTCAACAAGACGAATTTATGTATATGGGACTGAGCCTTCCTGGACTTGAGTGGGTCATACATTAAAAGTAGACCACAACACGGCTACATACATCGAAGCTAGCTTGGACTACTCAAACTTACTAAAATAGAGTTTTTTATATTGTTTAAACTTAAGTTCGAGATAGTTCATTAACCGACGTTCAACAGTCCAAATGAGCAAAGGCGAACTCGTCTAAAATCAGCACCATAACATGGAACCACTAGGCGGAAGGGCTTGATACGGACAGGCCTTAAACTCTATTCACCGAGTGTTTGTGAACACCTTCATAAGTCTTCTTCGCTTTAATGACGTATTCCGATTTCAACCAGTATTAATAGTAGACCAAGAGCTCGAGCAACCACGCAATACTGGCACAATTAAGATGTGGATACTGTAGTCGGTTAAACTTTTACCTATCAAAACTTGGCACCGACTACCTTAAGTATGTATATCTTGCAGGCAATTAGTACCCGCACGATACTAACAACCGCTTTGCATTTTTGCCCAAGTCGTCTAACCCCATTCTCCTATTCTGTTTCAAGTCCGCCTGGACCTTCAATATCAACAGGGCAGATAATACTCTGTAAGGAGGGCTATGTATCGGCATACTTTGAATAAGATGACTTTCGAAGCGATTACCTACCATTTCCTGATTAAGAGCCTTGATTAGGGCATCTTTCTTTCGAAACCTGTTATCAATATAAATAAATTTTCTGGGCTTATTCCGAAGAGTGTAGGAACAAACGTTGGGTATATCGGCGACTAGACTGAATAATATCAAGACCTCAATTCCGTGGTTATCTCCCCGCGGTTCGAGTTCTATGCCTGCTTGAATATTTAGATTCGAACGAAACCATTCACGGAAAAAATTGAAAGGTCTGCCTCCCGCAGCATATCACCTAACATTGCTCTCGAAGCATGTCATAAAGATAGCTGACAAGAAACACAAGAGGCTCGGTGTGCAACAAATGAATCTAATAATGAATTGTCTTTGATATCAACAATAATAACTCTCAATCCTGTCGGCAAACCGACCAATTTCAGGATAAGAAAAACTGTCTTCCTCTATTTTACACTAAAGTAGTGAGTGGCTAGGCATTAGACACGTCAGTAGCTTCGAGATAGTTAGGTTCTTGAGTCTTATGTCGGATGACATCACACAATTATAGAACACCTGCGGGTTAGCGGCTCAGTAATTTACCCATGGCTTCTAAAATCCAATATTTCCCTCCCCGACTGTCGGTTCTTTATACCGGAAGGACCCCGATTTTTCTCCGGCCAAAGACAGTCGCTCGCAATATTCTCCGACAACTAATTCTGGGAATATTCTGCGGTTACCGACAATAATGGCTTGAAAGGATTGCCACAAACGAAGTTTTAGATAGGAAATGGTATTAGATCTTTCAAAATTAATTATATATATATAAATAACGAATAATGTTAATAAAAAGAAGCTGCACTTACCATTAAATGACCAAATGTGCGATGGTAGCGAAGTAGCTGTGTAAACACGACCAATGCCGCCCGCCCCACTCGACGAGGATGCCGCCAGGGCAATACTTTCAACAAAATTTGTGCCAGTTCCATCCTGCAGATCTTCAAAGTTTAATGTATGTGAATGTGGCCCACTCACCATGCCACGACCGCTAGCACCAACACCACCACCACCACCATTCCCGCCATTCAGCATAAGTGAATTGTCATGAAACGAACTACTGCTAACCGGTACACTAACCCGAATACTGCCAGTGCCCATAACATCGCCGCCAAGCGGATAATGTTGATGTTGCAGATAGTTGGTTGTACCTGAAGAATGCGTTTGTGAAGATACACCAAATGCACTATTGCTTGGCGTCGAACCAACTGCTGGATGTGTATGCGGTCCCGCAGCAACACAAGATGCGTGTGAGGTGCCATGTTGTTGATTGTGTATATCCGGTACTGAACTCAAACTGCGTGCCCTTTGCCGATCGATGCTCGAACTTTGGACGTGATGTTGTACTTGTAGGCTAGGCAATGTACGCAACAAGTTGAAGCCTTGACCGCCATCGGTGCCGCTATTTGTTGCAACTTGTGCTGCGGCGTCCGTTCCAGTTGAACTGCTGGAAAAGGTACGCGAACGTGGGCTCTGGCCGCTAGCTGTCGGTGTACTTGCCTTAGCGCCCATTCGTTGGGTTTAAATTTTGTGCGTCCTGTTTCGATATATTGGTTTACAGTGGGGGCAACGCTCGAAAAGGTGAATATATTTTTATACTTTTGCTTTTAAATTGTTTTATGGCGATAAACAAATTATGTTTGTGAAGCCTTAATTGCGAATCGCACCTATGTCGATATTATTACATTTATATTTACTTGTGATTTTAGCACAAGAAAAGCGACTGTGCTAGAGAGTCATATGTCTAGCTCTTTGTGTTGTATACTTCGAACTGACTATGTCTGTTTAGTAACGGATGACTTTGCACGTGAGGATAATGACCTGTTTAGGAGTGGTGGGCACAGGGTTAGTAATCGTACATGTTATAGGATTACTCAGTTTCCGACAAAATTTGCAACGACATCTAACAAAGGAATGCAACTGACCTTTGTGCACGCTAAATCAAACTGATGGGGTGTGAGTCTCAAGACAACTTTCGGCTTTCAAGCTTCCTTCCCTGACTATGTTTAGAATATTAGCTCGTTACTTGTGTTTTTGTTGATTTCAGCAGAGCCAACTCTACACCACTACCAGCAGATTTCTTAGTGGTATATAAATATGACTTTAATATTAACCTTTATCAGCAATTACACGACAGTATTTAATTTTCACTTCATCAACGTAATCTATTTTTTGTTGCTATTTCCTTTTTCTTTTTTGGCGAAAACGATTTGCCAATTTAATGATTATGACTACACTCTTATGAGCTATCACTGACACCGCTGTTATGCTGTGTACATTCACTCCCCCGCTGCACCACTAGCTGCTCCACACTACTAGATATTCGCTAAATTGCTGACCGTCTGTTTTTTCTTCGTTTTGTTGTTGAATATAGAACTTTTTCTTTTTCTGTTGATCTAACTTCACGTCTTCTCTAGCTATGACATTTGTCCTCAAAGTTTTTGTGCTTTTCGAGTTTTTTGTTGTATTTTTATTTTTATTTCTTGTTTTTATGTTGCCTAAAAATTTTCAATTTAAGGAGAAAACATTTGGTTAATTTACCAATTCTTTGTATTTTTGTAGCAAAATTTGACAGCCAAATACGTCATTTTCGTGAAAGACAGAAACGAAAATGACATTAACGGCATTGCCAACATTTGCAAAGTAGAATATTTGCGCACGAAAAGGAAGTATTAAATTGATTGAACGGTGTTTTTTTCTTAAAAAAACCAACTGTTTCCTGGGAATTTTTAAAACATATAAATGTAAGATTATAGTTAAGTTTAAGTTAAGCTGAAATATAGATTTTAATTTGACTTACTTTCTAAATTCCTATTCCATTCTATTAAATACAGTTTTGGGGATATATCAGTAAGAAAGAGGAAAAGGAAATGTAAACTTTTCAAAATGGAGTTTCGTAGTTAGCTGCTGGTTAGGGTTTTTATTAGGGATTTGGTTTTTATAAATTCTTGTACCAGCGTCCTTAAGAAAAAAAGTCGAATTTGATGTAAGATCTATTTTTTGTTTTTCGTTTAATGTTACGTGATCAAAATTTAGTAGAGTAAATTTAGCTATATCGCCATTGCTAATTATTTTCGATATGATTTCCTATTCACTTATACAGAGTTTATCAATTTTCCAAAAATTCAAAATTACCGCAGCGAGTAAAGTTTTATATTGTGAAAATTTATATACGTATCTGTGTCTAGCTGAGAGGATTAGAGGATTGCGTAAGCTTCTAGCAGACCACCCTTCAACCTGGTGTCGAGAACCAGAATACTTGAAATAAAAAACGCGCTGACTACCTTTTTTGCTTCTTTTATTTCCTAAAAATTGCTTACAACATTAATTTTACTAAATTTTAGGATTGATTAAGAGAAAAAATTGTTACTTAAATGCTGTTTCTTAAAGATAACAACAACGCATTGAAAGCAAACCTACATGGGAAGGTTGCCTCCAACAAGTAGTATAGGGAATTCGGGAATAATAATAGAACACTATTCTCATAACTGAGTTTATCGTAAGATAAATTATATGCTTCTGTATTAGTAAAAATAAATGTGCATTGAAATTGTGAATTAATTGCAAAATAGTAAACAAAATGCAAATGAATTAAACGTCCAAAAATAATTATTTATATACCTATATTGACAAAAGTGGTATTTATGCTATTTGTTTATTCTCAAGGTCAGTTCAATATTTTGTCACCACATAGTTATATTATTAGTAAGCGAATAAAAGTGGTTTTCTTATTTTTTTATTAATTGGAACTCAAAATTCTCATATTTGTCTAAAGTTCACTTTAAATTTGTAATTATTTCGTTTTCAGCAAACCCTGCTTTTATTTTTGCACATACATATTAGTATTAAGAGTCGGCTTGACGATTTTACAATTTTAACCATCAGCCTTAATTAAAAGTAAAATGAATAAAATTTTTGTTTAGTATTTTAATTAGCAATAAAAGTTGATTTTTTGATTATTTGAACTTTACATATACATAAATATGTATGTATTTTTTTTTTTAATCGTTATAATAAAATTATTATTGTTTGGAAAACGCGATTATACTGGCACCGCAGCAGTTAATGGCTCCACGTCATTCTGAATATTGTTTATATTTCTTTAATTTCTGTTGGTGCTACTATTGTAGTTAGCATTGGCGAGCCGCGTTATACATAAGTTATAGAGCTATAAACTATAGATAATAAGAATTATAATAATGATAATATCTATTATGTGGTATAGTCGGTAAATCTTGTTGTAAATCAATGTATTTCTCTTGTTGATATAGTTTTTGAAATGGAAACATGTTCCTTGTATTCTGATTTTGCATTTGTTGATTTTGCTGTTTTTGTTCTAGCTGAAATTTTTTATGCTGCTGCTGTTGTTGTTGTTGTTGTCGTTTTTGCTGCATACATATTTGATGTTGTTGTTGGTTATATAAACACATTTTCGGTGTTTGTTAGCATTGCACTTTGCCATATTGCGCCCTGCGTTCCAAAACCTCACGATATTCCTTATAATTCATTTGGATTTCCTGCGAACGATAACGCGTCAGTTTGATTGATTTACGAGTTTCCGGGGTGATAGCTGCACGATAGCCACCCTTCCTGAGTAGAGAGTCAATTGTTTGGGTTTGATCCCAACCTGTGAGTTAGTGAGAATGATTGTTTAGTAAAAATATAATAAATATATTTATAATAAGATACCCGATCCGCCGCTTACCTTGTTCAGTTGCGACCTGTGGCAAATAAGTAGCAGTTCTTTTATAACCGCGTTCATTCAAAAACTCTATACGTATGCCATGTACACCTAAGGTCCAATCAAGATACCCATGAGCCTCTTCAAAATTCTGCAAAATTGAAACGGACACAGTCAATTTGGGTAACTCGTCTCTGGCAATTGGCGCAAATCGTGAATCTTTCAAAGCGCTTGTTAGAGCATATTCGCGCAGGCCATTGTGCAAATGCATAGCGCTAAAGGTGCCAATACAACCACGTAAACGCTTATCGCGCCCAGTCTTCCAAGTAACAAACAATGGGCTAGAGAGAAAATTAAAAATAATTTAATATCTATTTCTTGGTGAGTTACACTAGAGCACTTACTAAGCATCATTTGTGAATTTAGGCGTGCCAGGACCTTCAACATTATTAAGCTCACAATCTAGCACCTCGAAACAGAATATGCACATGTCCGGCACTGCTACACTATCCATTGGCTTGACACTGTAGCCATTTGTGTGTCGATTGGAGCCGCTGCCCCCACCACCACCGCCACGGCGATAGCAATCGCCATCTTCACCACAATCACCATTTTGCAGATGATGTGGACGTAGTCCATTCATTTGTGAAGTGCCTGAGCCACGATAATTGTTGTGGTGTTGATAATTGTTTGACATATTGTACTTGTTATTTCTATATTTTACGCACTACCTTTAAAATTTAGTTGTCTGTATATGTTGGATAAACTTACAAACTCTAATTTGTATGTTTCACACTTTTTGTAATGAGAATGCGACCCAATGTGGATTGCAAGGTTCTTAAATATACATATACTTATATAGAATAGCAATTACTATTTATTTTAAATTTATTGTGGGCAGACTCTGCTTACGTCAGGATCTGATTTTTTTATTATTTGTTGCAGGACTAATCGAATATAGGCTAATATATTATATATCGCTAAAGATTTCTAGTAATAATGGCAGTGCGTAACTTGATGTTGTCAATCTATAAAAGATTTAACCTGCAAAGAAATAGAGAAATAATTAAATTAAAAATTTTAAAATCACGCTTTCGCTAAATCATCATCTGGACCCTACAAATGCAATTCATATCTAGAAAACTAAGAATTTAAATGTGTTCTACAGTAATCTGTATCCAAAAAGGTTGCAAAAGAAGTTTTGTTAACACTGTCTAATACATACATATATTGATACAGACCTGCGGAGGTGTTCAGAAAAAAAAACAAAGTGCTAAATCACCAGTTCAATTGCCTGTGCTTTGTTTACGCGTAGGTACCCGTATAAAATGCATTACTTGAAGCAATGCCCATAACAACAACAAAAAAAACTGAATGATTATGGTTTAGTATCAGTCGGAGACCTTGTGCTGCGATTTTTCGCTCATCTACACTTCACTAGCTACTCGGGTATCAGTCTCTTGCTCGATCAGCGATTCTATCTGTGATCCATTCCCGTTATGGTGTAGTGCAGTCACTACAATCAACTATGGTTCGTTTTCTTTATTTGAACATGGCACATTCACCTTTTTCTTAAAACATTAAATTATCATTTGCTTTCTACATTTGACATTCTCTACTTTTTTACAATTTTCAGTTCGCTTGACTCCTTGCGCTCTCCGCAAAATAATAGCACACATACACAAACATTCATTTATTCAATACTTCACTTCTCCTCTTCCTTGTTACTTTTCTTTTAACTTGGACACACATACATTCCTCAGCTTGGACTTCCACAACTGCTTCTTTCGAGTTTTCACACCAATGCATTGGACTTATATGAAATTTGCTTGCAAATTTTGTTCACTCCGTTAAAAATTATGAAAAATAAAAATATAAGAAAACTTTTACCAAATACTTTTCTTTATCGCTCGCTCGCAAATCCGCGTCGTTCGCAGTGTGAGTGACGAATGACGACAATAAAGCAAATCAGAGAATGTCAAGCCAAGGACAGAGTTGTTTCTCTCCAGCCCAGGGACGTATTTGTGAAAACCGATTACTGTTTGAGATGAGCCAAGTATTTTAATTCAAAGGCAGGTAATAATATTATACACGGAATATAGAAGCCATTGTTTTTTTTATACTATTTGTTTTTAAATAATTATAAATAATAATAAACCCGACGATATCATCCCAGCAGCTGTTACTTATGCCACTTAACATTATGCTTCTTAGCTGTGTTCATAGATTTTTTACTATGTAAGTGGTTCATGGGGAACATTAGGAGGTTTCCCGTTACAGTTCTCAGGTTGGTGTTCTGGCAATCTTTTAGCTTCTTCAACTTTGAACTCTTTCTTTCTTAGAGCGCTCATCAATAACTGCGCATAAGCGAACTGTGGAACGGCTTTTACAGCCGCTGACAAAATAATTAGTTAGGAGAGAGTGACCGAAATGCGGTAGTACGAAGAGGTTAAAAAGCTGTCAGAGAGGAGCAACGCTCTAAAAAATAGTTTCCTATGGGAAAATTCGGCGATTTGCAGAAGGTTTCAACACCGAAGCATACTCATGTATGAACGACAGATAATATCTACTGACCCATGCCCAGAATATACTGAGTTTATGAGGGAATTACTTTTCCACCGAATTAAAATGAAACACCCAGAGTTTGGGAATTCGAAACTTCAATCGACGACGATACAAAAGATGTACCGCCAGTCGGCTATGACGGGGTTCGAAATGCGGCACTCGCATCAAATCTAACAGCAAAGGAAGCTACTGGGCTATTCAAATATGTTGGTAAAGAATAAACAGGATGAATACTTCAGCTTCTATGGAATTTGAGGATACTCTTAATCCTTAAAAAGAAACAAGCTGCAGCCAAATCTTAGAAAAGATTCGTTAATAAGGATCGAATGACAACACCACTTCGTTTTTTTTAAAACAACTTTTATATAGAAAGTACAAAAGGGTTGTCAGCTTTGGGGTACGGCCTTAACCGGTATTTTTAGTAACAAAAAAAAAATTGTAAAAATTTAGCTCCTAACAAAGTCAAAAAAACAGGGTACAATTTTCTATAAGAGTGCACAACTGCTGGCGTATGCCGAAGATATTGTCCTCAAGAGTTGCGTTCTTGTCTCTCAAGACTTAACAAAGAAATGAAGCGAAGGAGCTTGCTAGTGAACGCGGATTATATGAAATGGACGACAATCAGCAGCGCACTATCGTCTAGGCTCGCAATCACAACTATTCTACTTGGGGACTAGTGTGAACTTTGGACTCAGTTGGCAATTGAAAAGTAATGTCATCTCTCAACAAACAAATACCAACCACTACAAGTCTCTCATCGCTCTCGTCCTGCTATTCCGAGCGGATATCTTAACAATGACCACATACGATTAGTCCGCTTGTAAGATCTTCGAAACAAACATTCTACGGAAGACTTAAAGTCCTTTTCGCATTGCTAGCGTCAATACAGTTGCCGATACAATGATGAACTCTACGAGTTGTACGGTGACATTGGCCCATAATATACAATAGGGGCCTTGCAACCACTTAAGTGATTTCTCCAATTTCTTGATGTTTTACCAACTAATGGAAGGACCTAGTGTTTATTCTAAGTCGTCTCCAAAGAGATTTTTATTTCATAGCAGAAATACATTTGCGGGTCTTGACATCCCCTGCCGAGGGGTGACCACCATTATAAAAATGTATTTTCTATAACTTTGAATACTGTTTGCATCAGAACCTTAATCCTGGCCATCCGCTTGTTGGTACGCAATGCTAACCACTCGGCTATTGCGGCCGTCGCCTCAGTGAATGAGTTGACAAAAGCCACTGTCTAGGTCACGTCGTCCGAATGGACGAAAACAATTCAGCTTTGAAGTACACGTGGAAGCAAATAGAGGGAAAGAACTCTATTCTGGCTCCAATTTAAAACATAAACAATCAAAAGCAAAGAGAAGAAACCGGTGGCGGATTAATTTTGATGCGGTTAAGCGGTTTTTGATTTGATCGAGGAAGCCTCCCAAAAATAAGGGATTGCCGATTCCAACCTTCGCTCATATCAAGCAATATGTCTCTACACTACCCTTGACGACTGCAGCGCAATCGTGCGAATGCTTTTCCCTAGGAAAAATGAATTGAAAATGCATCTGCAATTATCGTGGCGCTTCTTGGTCTAACAATAACTTCGCAGAATCCGACATTGTTTTTGTTTTGTTTCAAACGAAAATGTCCATTTGCAGTCTTTGTGTTCCTTCGCCTTTATGGATGTGTGCACATGTGTATGTCTGTGTGTGTTTGTAGTAAATAAATAATACAAATGTATATTGTGTAGATAATATTTACTTACGTATGTGTGTATGTATGTATATTTTTTGGTGCTTCTTCTTATTTTTTCTGTGATTGCTTTGTAGGCGATTATTTGGAAAGCCAAACTATGTACATTTGTATGTATGTATGTATGCATGGTTGTTGTTGTTGTTGCTGCTGCTTAATTCTGCTTCAGTGCTTGCTATGCCGCTTTACCTTATGCTCTCAACTATATGTTTGTGTGAATGTGCATTCGCTGCGACAGGTAATACGATTGTTCACTTCATTGCATTTCACCTTTGATTCATGTGTCTTGATGATGAGGTCCTTGAAATTTTCACTAGAATTGCCGTGTGTTACTTTTTTCCTCAGCTCTTTGTCTTGCCCTCTGTTGATCTACAACATCTTCGTCCTGATCTCATACATACGTGTACATGCACACACACATGTATATACATTTGCCTTCAAGCTAGGCATTTTGAAGATCAGCCTTGTCCTCGTCCGCGTACCGTAAGACGTCGTAGTCAATTACTAGCCAACCCGCAGCGTTTTCGAGTGTGTTTATTGTTCGTCATCGTTATGTGATTTTCTACGCCTTACAAACTCGAGTGGTTATTAAGCAAATACCATTGTCTCTCATGAGCACTCCGATGCTCGAACATACAAGTACCATCGCTCAGCTGGACGTTACGTGTCGAACAATGGCAGGACACTTGAAAATGCTCTGGGTATGGTGGATTGCTGATAGTGCCGGACAATGCGCTTGGGTGCGTCAAACACTCGAAGCACAGTCGTTGGTCCATTATTTCAAAGGTGCCGTTTTTGGCAGGATTGCACATTGTATGAAATGCAGCGTAATCGGTTGGTTGGTTGGCTGGCTGACTGGCTGACTTAGCGGAGAAGTGTCATTCTTGCAACAACAAGTTGCAAATGTGTGTATTTGCACATGGCATTCTGCGCCAAATGGCTATGGGACATGTGAGTTTGTCGCTGTTGGCGTGTAGTTCATTTTGTTTGCTGCCAGGACGTCTAGGTGGCGCAGCGGTGAACTTATGGCATCTGCGAGGGTAATTCGTTTGTAGTTTAAGTCAAGTTTTTCGGTTGATCCGTAGGCGCACATCTGCATTTTTTGTTTGTTTGTATGTATGTACTCGTACATAGCTAAAAATCACACCTTTACTTAACGGTATACAATAATACTATTACCTGTCATTTATATGTATGCAGGACCACATACAAAGTCTGTAGTCGTGAGTAGACATTTTGAAGACTCATTATTTTTGTTGCACATTTCTTTAAGAAAAAATTTTTTTTTGTTTTTTTTTTTTTTAAATTAAATTTTGGACCAAAACTAGCTTTCTAGTCCTTCAAACTACAGTAGCGACTAACGGCTGCTAATAGTCCTTGCACCTCTTTTTAAAGTGCGTTCAAACATTTCGCCGTTTTTTCCCCCTTTTTTCAAAAAATGCAGTGCAGACAAGCACCAGTCGGCTGGATAGAGTCTCCCTCCTTCGCTGCTACTACGATCCTCGGCAGCCCAGTCAATGTCACCTAAATTGCTGAACTGTATCATGGTCTTCGCCTCCAATATTAACGTTTTCCATGGTTTGGTTGCTCTGTCAATATTAGCGAAGTATGCCGGCTCTTTCGAAGCATTACATCCTCGGTTATGTTTTACACCTAAAATAATAAGAAGGCTTATGGCGCAAAATCTGACGTTCTGTTGCTGTTGTTGTAGTCGCAAAAATATTCCCCAGAGCAGTTCTTTGGTAAAGTTGCTGGAGGGACAGCCCTTGACCGGACAAAAATCCAGGTCGTTCTGGTTTAACGACCCGACTTTCGCGATTTTAGTTGCCTGTTAAATAAATTCTTAAACTCCTCCTTTCATCATCAAAGCTTCAGCACCAAATAGCAAAAACAGGAAAGATGAGCGACTCATAGAGTTTGGACCGTGTTCGTCAAGAGAGCACTTTACTGTTCAGCTGCTGTGTGAATCGAGTCGCGAACACACTGATAACAGGTCTTGTCCTAGCTCACTAATAAACCTATTAGGTTTCGTCGTAAAAACATCGCCTTCGGACCCTTCAACGTTCTCTAAGTGCTATTGTTATTCGAATTTCATCATATCAGACGATGGAAAATCAGCTTACCCCTGCGGATCAGGGGTTCAAACCGCAGTAAGGCATGCCTGTCGAAAGAGTCAACTAAAATCCTAGTTCCCGGGGCAGTTGGACCCTGATTTTTATCCGGCCAAGGACTGTTACTCCCGCAACATTCCCCAAAAAATACTTTGGGAATATTTTTGCCTTTACAACAACAACAACAACATGGAAAATCTGCTCTTACTAGGTTTCTTCATATTCCAAGTTTCCGTTGGCGTTTTAGAGAAGCGTTCCCCGCATTAATGTCTTAACGGAAAGATCTTAAAACACTTCATACTTATGAAATTTGACATTTTTCTTCCCTCGTCAATGCTTTTTCGGAGCTTCCTTCCTCATCACATCATTGCTTCCTTAAACTACAACTTCAGAGAGAAATTACTTCTTTGGCGAAGCTTAAAATGGAGTTCTGGAGTCCTCAACCTTACTTCGTACGGGTGGGTTTTCGGCCTCAATAAGATAGTGAACCGAGTCGGTTCTAGGAACTCAGAGTATATATATATCGAGAACACTGAAGATATATCACAACATGGTCGATTTGGTCACTCTGGAGACGATATCACCAAGAATGATGTTGACTTCGTTGGAGCTTGGCTTTGGTACGATCGCAAATAACAAACCAATCATTGCACTGCTGGGGGTTCTTTAGTTCCACACTTAACATACAAGACGTTCGTCTTCCCACCAGAGCTGGGCGCCAAATTATTGTTGGCTACTGGTTCAAACATTCAGCTCATGTTTGAGTACTTCTGCAAATGATCTGCGAACTTTCTGGGAAGCTTAATAAAATGAACTAAATACAATACTATTTTCTTTTCTTACTACCACCTGAAGCATTTTGAAAAGATATAAACGGCTCTTCCAAAAAGCGATTAAGCAAAATGTAGCCTACACTAAAAGTCGCTGTATTGCGCTCAAGAATTCTTTTCAATTTTGTTATTTTTTTGGGTAAAATTTACAGCGCCGACTCATGTAGCGACGCCAACGCATTGGTCCCATCCACACATAGGCACACAAACCACGTATCTGCACGATGACTGAGCTCCACTATGTACGCGCAAAGAGCGCCACAACAGCGGTGCGCGAGTGACACAGCAGCAGTCCCTATCACGACCACAACCACATCCGCTAAGCGGCTGGCTCATGTGGAGCACGAGCGCCGGCGAGCGTAAGCCATATGCGTTGCCAAATACAAATACGATGGCGCGCGACTCAGTGTGGTCGAAAGCTCCATGCGATAATGTCGTGTCGCCGTGATGTGAGCGAATAGAGGCGAAGTGAAGAATTTTCTATTGTGCGCGTGTGTGTGTGTATTTTTTTTAATTGAATTCTATACACAAACTGTGTCTTTTATTAAGAATAGCAGCGCGGAGCTGCGTACGGAACGCCAATAATATTATTATTATGTGAAATACTGGAAATTAGGCAAAGAGAATAAAAGGGGGGTAGAGCAGAGCCTCAACTGATGAATTAACAACGCGAAGTGCGAAATAGTTGCACAAATTTACATCCAACGCAACGTTGTCGGCGGCAGAGGCGGTGCCTTTGTTTTGTCTCTTCGTGACAATGTGCTAAACATTAATTATTAACAATTCACACAAAAACACGCAACAAGCTAGTGAACGCGCAAATTTATAATAGAAAAAAAAAGCTTAAAAAATATATAAATATTAAAATTAAATTATATTATATTAAATGCTTGTGTAGAACGAACGCGTGCGACGACGACGAAGCTTAAGCGGCATACCAACGAACGCCGCGTACCGCCGTGTCTCTGCTAAAGTGAGAAAGTGAAAAACCCGCACGACGCCGCCTTTCCCTGCACATATGTGTGGCGAACAGTTAAATTGCGGTAACGCGGCGTGTTCAGTGCTCAACAGACTCTCGAGCTCGTGGAAAGCGCGTCGGAATATTTAAATACATTGCAATAGCTATTCCGCACTACTGATCGACACCTCGCTATCCAGCGGTCTAAGTGCTCGTGGCTTGCGGTGTTTTTTGACGTCAATCGCAATATTTTTGTTTATGCTCCACCTGTGTGTATGTACGCATGTTCATTCTTATGTATTGTACATACATATGTAAGTTTAGATGTTGACAGATACTATCAGGCTAAACAGTTTTCGGTGTTCGCCTGATTACCGTTTGATAGCTAGTGTGTCTGACCGTTGTACCGTCTGGCTAATTGCTAATTGCTACTGGCCGGCAGCCCACTCGGGTGCCAGATGTGATAAAGAAAACTTAAATAGTTATTACAACAAAAAGAAACACTGCCACTTTAATCAGTTCAGCAGTAAAGTCATTCAAGCCAACATACATGCATGCATACATACATACATATATATCGTCGACCCCAACAAAGCGGCTTGTTCTACTACTACGGAACGTTGTCGTTGTTGTATACAATAATATTTATAGGTATGTATCTCTTGCTTTGTTGTCAACTGCATAATATATTAACACATATTCATTATAATTCGCCGATTAAGCATTGTTGTCTTATTGCAAATATACAGACATACAAACACACCCCTACAGACATACATACATAAGTATTTCCTATTGTAATATTAAGACGCAGTACAATAAAAAGCCTACTTCTAGAACCAGACATTTCTGCACCGCTTGCGAAGCAAAAAGTCAAAGTTTGATATTGCAGCCCATTGATAATTATCGATAATCGATCGTCTCCACAATCAGCTGTTCAAACTCATCACGTCATAAGAAAATAAATTGTGCTGTATTTTGTGGGAAAAAATGTGATTGCTGTGCACTTTTAGTAAAAAGTAATATAAAAGAGTGAAAAGTGAGTAAAAGGTATTTAAAGAGACTAGTTAAGAGGCAGATGATTTTTTTTTTCAATAGACCAGTGATGTGAATAGCGAAAATGTAGTTGCAGTAAGAATAGAACTCCGAGTAGATGAAGATCAGTGAAATTCAAAAAGTGTTTGAAAACTTTAAATTAATAATTGAAATATAAATTGATGAGGGGGTTTATTAAAAAAGAGTCTAGGGAAAGCTTTGAATATTTTTACTACCAATGACATCGCCCGCCGTGTAAGATTGGACAGTTCAAAAGCATTGAGCTACAACTATTGTTGCCGTCAATAGGTATGGTTCTGAGTCAGTTTTGAGCTAGTCTGTTGTGCTACAGGGTGTACGTATAGTTTGCGTATATGGAAATTTATGTGAGTAAGCTCTTTTGCATGCAATAAAGAAAAACAGCAAAAACAAGTGCAATTAAAAAAGCTATCAAACACAAAATAGCAGCAGCGGCAGCAGCAGCAGTAATAACAACGGCCAAAGCAGTGAACTAGCATAAAAATATCTACATGCATACATACATACATATCTCTACATATGCATACAATATATATGTACGTACATATAAATGTACCTACATATGCACGTGTATGTGCTTGCGGTAGCATTCGTTGAGATATTTATTTATTCTGCGCCGCGTATTTTTTATAGTCTGGCGCTTGCTGTTGTTGTTATTATTATTGTTGTTGTTCAAGTGATTGCTACTGTTGTAATTGATGTAGCGCGCATTGTTGTTGCGGTTTTATATTGATATATACTCACAATGCTTGTTATACGAGTACAAGTTGTAGTTATGTAGATATGTATTGTACGTATGTTTGCATATTCGTACGAGTTTGTGTGTTTGTATATATTCAATATGTTTTTTTCTTGTTTTTGCTTGATTTGTATATTTGTTGTATACTCATTTGCTTTAAAAATAGATTTCCGAGTATTTTGTTGTCCTGAGGCGCAGCCAAGCAAATTGAAGAAAATTAATAAAACAAAAACAAATACCTACATAATGAAAAGCAACAGTACAATGAGGCAATGTGCAGCTCGGGTGAGACCGTGTATTTAATTTTTGATAGCAAGTTTCAAAATGTCAGCTGAAGAAATGCCCTTTAAAGTACAGATGCTTCGTGAATGGTCGAAGAGATGTACCTTATACCGTTATATAGTAACCGACGCGCCACTTAAGCCGAATGAATCTCGGTCGTAGGTTCAAACTGTAGATCCCTCCCAGTCATTTAAACGCAGAACCCGCGTTAGGGCATGTCTGTCTTAACAGGTGGCTAGAATCCAATAGTTCTCCCGGCAGTGGGGTCTTTATACCGGAATAACCTGATTTTATTTGGCCAAGTCAATGCCGCTGACCGATTTGTTGAATATTTTTGGAATTACAGGAGAAGCTCAGCCGAAAACTGCTTCAGATAATTGACAATCTACAAAGAGTAGGTTAGAGTTCCAGCTTAAGTCATTGCAAGGGCCCTAATTATTAGGTTAACGCCCGTCAGCAGTATATTACAGACAATAGCCAATCTTACCCGCTCAAGCTTGGTATTCGCCGACGAACACTTCGTCGAAATGGCGGACATACGCCCTGTTGGATTAAATATGCAAAAAAAAAACTATTTACGTATGAGTATGCACTTAAACGATCTCATCAAAAAAGCCCCTAAGCAATATTCTGTTTGACCTTTCGAGTTCTGGCCACCACCACAATTAGATGCAACAATATTTCAAATTGCAGTCGCACCACGACAAGGCACTTATAACAGCTTCAGGGTGTGTTGCCTAAGTGAAAAACAAAAGGCTTCTCAAAAAATCCATCAACAATTTAAATACGGCTTGAAAACTGTAGGCGCTTCCATTTATCGGAAAATATCATAACTTACGCCACTAATTGGAGGTGGAGCTCGACCGACCCTAGAGAGAGTAAGTCCTTCAAGTTCTTGCCCCTGAGACTTGGAGAGTAGACTGACATGGTAACTCGAAAAGTTCTGCTCTTCTGTTCCACCGATTGATAATTTAACCTGAGAGCGCTACAGTAATCTTGAGCCGCAGGTGACGGCTGTAGATTACAATAGATCACCGCCTTATGCGTTACTCTCTGAGTTCTAAGTTCTTAAAATAAAAAAAAATGATTGTTCTCACGCGAGAAAATAGCGCGTTGGCAAACGATATTTTGTATTTCCTCAGGATACTGCCCATTTCGGTAGGTGTAGAATATATTTTGTTCTTTGAGACAACGAATTTTCAAGGCTCCCTCCTTCCAAGATTTCCTACGCACCGCAATCACCTAATTCGTTTGTTCGTTTACGCTAAATTTCATGTGGTGAGTTTTTACCGTTCCGCGAACAAACTGTCTAAACCCAATTGAAAAAACTTACGCTCGCACAATACAAACTTTTTGCTACCGAACGCAGTTGGACCTGCGATCCTACAACCAGTCGTCATCACACTTTGCTTGTGGGGGGATACAAACACATGCGCATACATATGTATGTACATACGTGTATAAACTAACGTCTGTAGTATATTGTAGTTTGTGGTAGGCGCGCAGCAGACAAATGTCAAGAATGCGAAACGCGTTGAATATTGTTGAGCACAAGATTTGCCAACGAGCGGTGGACGGTGAGCACACAATCTAACATACCAAGCGTACATACATACATACATGCATGTTTACAAGTGTATACAGTGTATCAAATATATATAAATTCATGTACTTATGAATATGGTGGCACTTGCTTACAAATGTTTCCAAAGACACACCTACATATCATATAATACCTACATACACACACACATACATATGTTTGTATGTATGTGCATATACATATTTTGCAATCAAACAAATCGTCTGTTTTGTTTTGTACTGTCTGGCTAACGAGTCGAGCCGGCCGGCCGGCCGGTCTTTCGATCTACTTACAATTGCAATGACATATGTACATACATACGTACATAAAAACATCTATACCTCTGTACATATGTACGTATATGTGCGAGTATATTTAATTTTTATTCGCCGTCTGTCTGTCAAATGATTGTGCTGGGGTTTCGTTGTTATTATTGTTGTTGTTATTAAATTTTTTTTAGCTTGGTGTTGGAACCGAACACTTAACAAGATCATTTGAGACTTTTTATATTTTGTAATTTATAAGCAAATTTTTAGACGAGAACTTTTCCATAAACATGACTACATGACGACATGACGACAAGTGTACATACAAATATGTTGGAGGATTGTGCAAATATTGCAGTGTAGAATTGCATTAAAGAGTATCTTTTTTAGTTTAATTGCGCCCGCTTGAAATGAATGCATCAGCAAGAATTCCGTGTCCACAATACGACTCCGAGCGGGGATATGCAGGATATGTTGTCTCCAAGTACAACGTTCCCTTGAAGAGAGAGAGTGAGCGAGGACGGGTGGAGGCGTGAAAATCACTTGGCTGCTTGTAGTGCTTGCAACCTTTAAATGTCGAACTTTCCTATTGTGTTCGTAGATGTGCGCTCTTAGCTGCGTAGAGGCAGGTCCATATCTTGGCTGCAATAAGCTGTAATACTTCGCCGCATCACTATTTAAACCACATAGAGTAGACTCATGCAAAATGCGGGTTACGAGGGATCCGTCTTTTACAATACTGGTATTCCTGCCGAGGGTTCTCTGTTAAAAACTTGACTCTCCACATACATAGGAGTACCCAGGGTTATCTACTCGGCTATAGCGGCCATGATTTCCGTCATAACTGTGGCTGATTGGATTCTAAATGCTTCGTCCAGTCCTAGTGTTGAGTGTCGACATAGTAGTCAACATTTTGATTGGTCCCACCCCAATTGAATCATACACACATTGGAGAGCTACCTTGCCTTGCCTAGCTATGCAGCTCACAATATCTCCAAGCTGTTGCTAGGAGGCTCTCTTCCTCCCACAATTCCTTCACAGGACAGAAAAGTCTGTGGGCATCGGTCAAAGCACGAAAAGAACGGCGAGAAAGGTTAGGAAATCTCCTTATCCGTTGCAGTGCAAAATTCACACACACGACGGGATGAATTTTTATGGGAAAGGAGATGGAATCATACGGAATAAACTTAAGGTCCGGCGTTTTTCGGATCACATACTCGTAGGTTTGTATGGAGAAGTAGTTGACTGGCATTCAGGTAGCAATTTCCATCAACCAAACCTTATTTGCCCACTCATGTCATGGCGCTCTTTGAAGAAATCTTTTATTAAGTTTTCCTTCACTTACGTTAGGGGTTTGTGTTATGGTTGGAAGTTCGTCCACACAGAGTTTCTCTCCTAGCAGAAACCGAACACCTAATTGGCACTCCTAAGGTTGATGTAATGGATGTCAGAGGAACCTTACCTCTACTGTGTTTGTCCAGTCGACTGTATTTTCATATAACAATAATATTAAATTTTATCTTTGCGATCCGAAACAATAGTAATATTGACATTGGAGTTTTGTTTTTCATGATGGACTCTTAAACCGAATAAGCCAAAGAAGCATCAATAAAGCAACCTCCCTTTATACCTTAACCCAAGCCTCTACACTTGTGGGCCAGCGTGGCACAGTCAATCGATGTGAAGCCTCGCGCCCATCTAAAGTCAG